ATATGACCCAATATATTATAACCGTTGATGGACGGAAATCAACGGTTAGGATCTAAAATGATATAAGCTTATATCCTTTAAAATGACAGATATTTTTTCCTATTATACATTGCATGACACCACTAAGTCGCCTAAAAAACAACCCACTATGTGCACATCTTTCTAGTGCACTTCATCTATATATGACTCCCTATAACAAAAGATCAGATAAGTTCTTCAGAGACTGGGCTAGCCTTCACACCCATTAAATAATAACTATATTTGACTTTTCATTTAATTCAGTTAATGCTTTCTTATTTCATTCATGGATGATGTTGACCAAACAAATTTTAAATTGTATTGACATATGGATAGCTCAGCATAGACGGGATAACAACCAAGCTAACACATTTTTCCAAATAAATCATCTGAATACTACATTTCAGAAAAATTGTGCCAAAATGTTATGTTTTAGGTGGTCTTGTCAATTTAATCGGGTCTGGTTTGCCATGTATCGTGTGGGTAGAGATTTACTATTAAAATTAGTAGGTCCAGTATAAGCTATTTCTGAGAGCAGGTCCCAGCTCACATGTTGTTTGGGCGGAGAAACTCACTGTGAGAAACAATAGGTTCGGGATTAACTATTTCCGATAGCAGGTCACTGCACACGCAACACGTGACAAACTAGGTCTATTATGATATTTTAGCAAAATAATCTGACACGTGCCATTTGAGAAATTGTGTTAATTTAATCTTTGTCCCCAACAAAATATCGTCCTAATATTGGAGAAATTAAAGCTTCATAATCGATTACGACTCTCGATCAGACATGCTTAGCTTCATAATTGACTTAAATACCAAAATTTATATTTACTATTTAATAAGAAAGATCTTTTTTATTTAATTAAAACAGCGAGAAAATGCAAACTTTTTTTTTTTTTTTTTGATAACAGAAAATGCAAACTTTTACATAAAGACAAGGAGGTTAATATTATCATATTCAAACTTGCACATGATAAAGTTCCCTAAATGTGCATTATTTTTTTTTTTTTTTTTTTTTGTATTAGTAATGATACGAAATTTCAAAATTATAACGTCTCACAAACTATGATAAGCCCTTATTAGAGACTATCCCATTGTTGATGGCTTATAACATAACAACTTTTAAAAGTGCTCATTCTCGAGATGGGGGAGGACCGGGAGGTCGGGTTGGTGGGTGCGTATGAGGGCCTCTGTAGTCTACCAACAACCTTTCTGAATGCTCTGTAAAACAAAAAAAAATAAAAAAAAATAAAAATTATATGAGAAATGATTTTATTTGTTCAAATAACGAAATTAGAAGAGCCTAAGATGATGACTATTTGAATAAGAATATTAGTTAAAATAATCTTATTACTGTGATGTGAAAACTTAAGGATTTAATCTGGTTTTAGTTATAGAAATTATATATAGAATCAATGTACCATATGGTATTTTGGATTTCTTACTCGTTACCAAGATTTTCAATATCTTTATAACTTTTACATAAGTTTTTATCCACTTCACCTATCTAAGCAACACCCTGTAGGCAAAAATTTGGAATTTATATTTACGAAAAATAAAATCAAATTGAAATACATTCACATGAGCAAGTTGTTAAAGTACCCCAAAAATTTGAAGACTCAAGATGTGGTGGAGTTGGGTGCATGAGTGGGTCTTTGAAATCTGGCAATGTTTGAGAATGATCCTTATGATTTGGAAAAGATGGGTGCTTGTGTGGCTCTTCATAGTTCACTGTTGTTAAAATTCTTTCATAATTCCCTGTCAAATAAAATGAAACCCACATCAATTACGTTCACTAATATGGTGGTTTTAGGTTTAAATATATATAAAAGTGGCAAGGAATTTTGACAATTCTTAGAAGAGCTAAAAGGCAAAATCTATTCTTAAATATAAAGAGAGAATTATAAAATGGGCAATAATTACCTGAGAGAATTGGACGAGCATAGCTAGTCATTGCCAAGGCAAACATGAAGCACAGAAATGCTGCAGAGGCCATTTCTAAATTTGATGTGATATTACTGCTTCACTATCCAGTTATATAATGAGTACTTAGAAACCATTTATTATTATTTTATCTACATTGAAACGCTCACAATGTAAGAAATATCACTACCCAATCTCAGTCACAAGGATCGGTCAAAATAAACTCCTAAAAATGCGATTAAAATTAATTGTCCAGTGCGGGTACATTTAGCTTTTTGACCAGTGTGGATAGAAAAATATTGTTGTCTTAATACCATTTGAAACATATTTGTTAATTTGAGACAAGAATGACATGGCGCTAAATGAACTAGTATCACATGTTACCACAAGGCAATTATATCTTTTCATATAATTAATTCCTACTTTTTAACTCTCACCCTATTTTTTATAATTAATTCTCTGTCTTTAACTCTTAATGTTAATTGACTTTAACGTTATTATTAATCGTTATTAATGTACTTATGTTTCTCATGACTCTCCTTATTATGATGATCAATTTCTATCAAATTTGAATACTTCATTTACAATTTGAAATTTGAAATGCTAGTTCTTCATTCCATTGTTTGCAAAGTAAGATTGTCCATAACATATATAGATGTAATCCGTCAATTTGGATTTAAATAACATCTATTCAAAAGACGGGTAACGTAAATGGAGTGGATCATCGCATGTCCTAATATGACTATATCATGTATAAGATTTTTTTATTTTTTTTTGGTGTGGAAGAATTTTAATTATACAAGAGTAAATTAATAGTGATAAGAGAAGATGGAGAAAAAATAGTGTGAGAAAAAGTTATAAAATCATGATAGTTGATTTGTTCATGGATGACTAAAATCATCTCACATGACATGGTAATATCAAAAAATAATATTTTAGATCCTTTTAAAATGTTTCAAGTCAATAGAAATAACATAATACGTTCAATGATAACAAATAACTTAAAAAGATTGTTTAGTGGATTTGAATTGGACATAATAATATTATGTAATGTATTTTTTCATGAATCAAATGAGAATATGAATAAGGTATATTTTTGTAGGGATATGTTATTCTACCTACTTTTTTTCTGCCTATATCTTTTCTCTCCTCTTAGATTCTGATCTAACGATGTTGGAGAGTAGTATGTAAAGATAGACAGAAAAAAGGATAGGTAGATTTTGATCTAACAGTGTGTAGGTAAAGGTAGACAGAAAAAAGATAGGTAGATCTCTCCTCTTAGATTCTGATCTAACGATGTTGGAGAGTAGTATGTAAAGATAGACAGAAAAAAGGATAGGTAGATTTTGATCTAACAGTGTGTAGGTAAAGGTAGACAGAAAAAAGATAGGTAGATTTTTTTGCATACCTTTGCCTACTACTCTTTTTTTCGGATATAGTGGAATTAAACTAACAAGTATTACACATTCTAGGGATCGACACCCCCATCAGGTCCCTTCTCAAAAGGGTTTTACAGACTTGAGGAGGCTCATGCAAAACATGCAAATCCCAATCTAAGTAACCATGACCTATTGTTGCTAACTTATCAGCAACCATATTCCCTTCTCTAAACACATGGCTAACTTTAGTAACTCATTGCCTTCCCAATAATTCGTGGATTCTGTTAACAATCGAGACCAAGGGATGTTCCAACCCACACCCTTTCTTAATCAGTTCTACAGCCACTTGTGAATCTCCCTCTATCCATAACTGTTTAATCCCTGCATCCCAAGCTAGTTCAATCCCCATAAGAAAGCCCCATAACTCGGCTCTTGTAGAGGAACTAGCCCCAAGATTACGACAGAAACCATAAAGCCACCTGCCAGACTCATCTCTTAGCACACCCCCGCAGCTAGACTTCCTCCCATCATCACAGCTAGATCCATCGACGTTGACTTTAGACCACCCCACATCTGGGAATTTCCAGCAAACTAACCTTTCCTTCTTTTCCCGCGTTTGTAGTTCGTGAGCGGTTCTAACCCTATAAGCTTATGTGATATGATCCACATAGACTCTCACTCCTCGAATCACAGTAGGTTGGTGAGAGTGCTTATTGTCAAAAACCAAGGTATTCCTAGCTTTCCAAATATGCCAGCACAGCACCCCAAAAAAGCTCCCCCAGTTAGTGTTCTGTACTTTCTCGATACTTTTAATGTTTGTTGATAACCAAGGCTGAAATGGGGAGGTGAAGAACTCATGATCCACATTCCTCGGCAGAACACCAGCCCACAAAGCCTGACTCCATCTACAGTCCCTAAGCAGATGAAGAATATCCTCGCTGGACTCATTGCATCTTTGACATATATTGGAGTTAGCTAATGTCCTAGCAAACCTATTTGAGTTGGTCAGAAGCACGTCGTTGTAGGCCATCCATATGAACGCTTGGATTTTTTTTGGTCCCTTCCAGGACCATCCAACATCCTAATTCTCCACACCAGCTTCCCCATCATCATCAGTAAGCAACCCATAGGCAGATTTTATGGAGAACAACCCATCATTTGAAAGACCCCACATGACCAGATCAGAGCCATTCCCATGCTTGGGTGGCATGATATTGGCTATCGATGCACAGGATTGAGGGGTCACCACCTGGTTCAATGTATTCCATTTCCACTTCCCGTTGGCGTCAACCAGCATGCTCACAGACCAAGATTTGCACTCCTCTGACAGAGAAACTCCATCCTTTAGTTGAACCTTGCTATTGTTGGCAAGCCAATTGTCCCTCCAGAAGCTGGTCTTGGTCCCATCCCCCAGCTGAACTCTAGAACCATGGAAAACCTTCGGCCAAACTTGCATGATTCCTCTCCAAAGATTGGAGGCTTGGCCGCAAGGCTTCAGCGAGGGAGTGAGCATCTCCTCCACCCGATATTTGTTCCTAAGGACTTCAGCCCAAAGTGTACTTCCTCTGGTGAGCAGCCCATGACCCAGCTTCATGAGAAACGCCTTGTTAGTCTCCTTCATCCTCTTTAATCCAACCCCTACGTTCCTTTTAGGCTGGCAGACTCTATCCCACGCCATCAAATGAACTCTCCTTTTGCTAGGGGTAGATCCTCATAGGAAGTCTCTTGCTTTGCGTTCAATACTGGTACAAGTGCTCTCAGGCAGCAAGCACGTTTGTATGTGTAGGAAGGTAAGGTTGAAATGGCGGATTGGATCAAAGTTGACCTTCCCGCAAATGAAAGGAAATTTTCCTTCCAACTGCTAAGCCTCTTATCGATCCTACCAAGGATATGATTAAAGTATGATGGTCCCACTCTTTCATTAAAAAGAGGTATCCCAAGGTACTTTCCCATGTCCGAAGCAACAACGAAGTCCAAGGTTTGCGCAATCTCCCTAGCTTTCAGATGACTAACATTCCTGGAGAAACAAATCCTTGTCTTTTCTTTACTGATTTTCTGACCAGAAGAGTCCCCAAAGCACCTCAAAATGTCTGTGATGAGCTTGGCCTGGTCGATAGAAGCCTCCGCGAAAAGTAGTAGATCATCGACAAAGAACAAATGGGTTATGGGGGACCATTCCTCCTTAACTTCGCCGGTTTCCACCTCTTCAAAGTGGTAGCTTCCAGAATCAAATGGGCTAACCTTTCTATACAAAAAAACAAACAAGTAGGGCGACAATGGGTCACCCTGCCTGATTCCCCTGCTCGTTGTGAACTTATTCGTATTGTGGCCTTCCCACAGGACACTCATGGATGCTGAGGTGACCCCCTTCATGATGAGGTCGATAGCTTTACCTTGAATCCCAGCTTCCTCGAGAGTCTGGTGGAGGAACCGCCAATTGACTCTATCGTAAACTTTTTTCAAGTCCACCTTAATCGCCATCCACCCCACCTTTCCTTTTTTAAGCCTCATTGAATGGAAAATCTCTTGAGCTATGATGATGTTATCGTTGCTATGCCTTCCTTTTATAAAGCTACACTGATTAGGCATGATAAGGGCATCCATGTGCGGTCTCAGCCTATTAGCCATAATCTTGGAAATAGCCTTGAAAGCCACATTGCAAAGGCTAATGAGGCAGAGTTGCTTGATAGAGTCGGGGTTATCTCCCTTAGGTATAAGGAAGATAAGGGACTTATTCAACTGTCTTATGAGATGCGGGTTTTGAAAAATATCTTGCACCAGCGTTGTAACTGACTTCCCCACGATAGACCACTGAGATTGGAAGAAAATCGAATGGAGCCCGTCTGGGCCAGGTGCCTTGAACCCATTCATACTGAAAAACACGCTCCTTATTTCTTCCATCGATGGGATTCGGTGCAAAAGGCCAAAGGAAACACTAGGAACTTTTGGAAAAAGCTCTCTAAGAGGAAAAGTGGTCAGTTGCACTTCTTTATCCGTATAAAGCCTCTCAAAGTACCTTGTGACCATAGCTTTGAGATCATCAGGGTGAGTAATCCACCTGTCCTCCTCATCCTTTAAAGCCAGAATTTTGTTGTTCCTCCTTCTAGCCACAGTCGACGCGTGATAGAACTTGGTGTTCCGGTCTCCATCCATAATCCACTTACATCTGGATTGCTGGAACCAAGTGATCTCTTCTTGAATATAAATATTATTAAATTTAGACCACATGCTATTATAGAGACCCTCAAGAGCGCTATTGTGACTCGTATTAAGCTCTGCGTCGATACCCTGAAGACGGGCCAGCAACCTATGTTTGCGATGCACGGTTTCTCTGAAGGTGGTTTCATGCCACGAAGTGGCCTCTTGCTGGAAATTACTGCTCCCCACCTCCCAGGTAGTCTCATGAAGCCAACACCTTTTAACTAAATCATCGAAACCATCACACTAGAGCCAAGAGGCAAGGAATTTAAAGTTGCGATCTCCTCTCCCTGACACGTTGCGCTTCCCTTCCCATAAAAGGATGGGTCTATGGTCTGAGCCCAAGTAAGGAAGGTGAAGTAGGAACCTCTGGGGGAATGAGATGACCCAGTTCATATCAGAAACCGCCCGGTCCAACCGCTCTAAGAGTCTGCCATGCTTCCAAGTGAAGGAAGGCCCTTTAAACCCGATATCAGATAGACCGCAGCTCGCGAGGTAGTCATTGAATTCATTCATGCTTCCCTGACAAGCGTCGTTGCCTCCTTGCTTCTCATGATGATGGCTCATGGCATTAAAGTCCCCCAACGCGATCCACGGTTTGTCAACACCAAGTCTGATTTTTTTTAATTCATCCCAGAGAAGACGTCTCCCAGTTCTCCTAGGGCTACCATAAACGAAGGTAGCCACCTCCTCCCTATTATTCACAACCCACGTAAGGTTAACGTGAATAAGTTGAACATGAGTAGCTAATAACGAAATCTTCACTTCCTCCTTATTCCACATGACCCAGATGCCCCCTGAAAACCCGTTAGCATCTTGCTTAAGGTGATCAGAAAACCCAATTTGTTTAATTTTTCTATCAGCAGCCAAACCACTTATACGTACTTCCGTAAGGACAAGAACCTTAATATCATATTTCTTTATCATGTCTCTAATGAGAAGATAAAAGCCTTTTTTCTTTGCACCCCTACAATTCCATGTACATATATTCATGGATAACCTTATAAAAGGAGGACGGTTACGCACAAAGCGTGGGCCCATCAGGCGGGTCTAGAGTTCCCAATCGGTATCTCTTTGCCGGCCAAACAGGTCGTTCGAATGTTGGGCTACCTATGAGCCCTTTCTAACTCAGCAACATTAACACTATTCTTTGTGGGAACAGGTGTCCGTTCCTCCAAGCTTATGCTGACGTCACCCGACACGTGGACTGAAGGCCCAGCCGCATGTGTATTACCTATTTGCATGAAAGCTTCCTTGGGCCCCATTTTCCCTACCATCTCCTCACAATTCTTTTCCTCAGTTTGCATTGGTATATGGCCCTTTTGTTCTACTTTTTGCATGGCCAGAGGTGGATCCCCTTGCCTGAGCTTAGCATCATCCGAGGATTTGCCTTTCTGGAGTAAGTGGCTACTTTTCTCTCCCAGGGTCAACTTAGGATCTTTTATGTTACCATATTTCCTCTGCACCCCTACACCCTGGGGCCTACTCCCATGCTGCGCAGCTCCATTTTCCTTTCTCTGAGCCAAAATGTTTCTGTCGGGGTTGACTCTGCCACCGGCCACCGCGCCCCTCACCTCAAGTGTCGTGAGCCATGGCCATGGAGGTCGTCGCCACCTCCTTTCTCTCGGTTTTCTCCATGGGTGCAGCTAGTTTTCTACCATTTCTCTTGACCACCATCCATTCTCCAAAGGCATATTCTTCTTCTACCTTTCTGCCCTCCTCCATGAAAGCATTCGCGTCTCCTTTCGCTCCAGCTGCCGTACCAGCATCTAAATTCTCTGGTTGCTCTGAGCTTTTATGAGCATGAGTGGTAACAGATTCTTTAACATATTCCAGTCCTCCATTGCATGCATCCTTCTTGTGGCCATATCTACCACAAGCAAAACAAATCAGATGCAGTCCTTCGTACCCAACGTTTAGAAATACGAATTCATTTTGCAAAAAGTCCCAGAACTTGATACGTGACACAAAGCTTCGTCGTAGGTCTACTTCCACACAGATTCTTGCAAATATGGCTTTGTCCGTTATCTCTCCTTCCACTCCTTCTACCCTTCTTAATGAAGTCTTGTCCACTTTCAAAGTCCTCCCTAGCATATTATCAATTTTCCATAAATGGTGCATTGTATAAAACTCCGTTGGTAGACCCGGGATCCTGAGCCAAACTACTAGTTTCTTAACCGTTCATCATAGGGGTTAAAGAACGGTCTCCATCGCTGGACTATGACATAGTGATCAGCCACAATCCAGGGACCTTCATGTAGCACATGTAGATAGTCTTTTTCCTCCTTGAACTTGAGCAAGAGGTGTCCATTGTCTAGGTCCGTTATCTCAAAACTGCTCACCAGATTCCAAAGGCGTTGAAGCCGCGTCATCAAGAACCTTGAAGCCACCTTCTTCCCCATGAGTTTAATAATCAGGGCCTTGGTCCATTTCTTGCAGTCCTCAGCATGTTGTTTCCTAGAAAAAAACATATGTTGAGCATAGAGGGTAATCTTCCTCCCCTGCGCCAACCTCGTCAGGCATGTCCTCCATTTCTTCCTCCCTTCTTTGGGTTGTCATCCAGTCTTCCTCTTCATCATCCATCCCCCCGTCCTCTCCATTGAGACATAGCACCTTATCCCTATATGATACCACCTTCCTGCCTCTACTAGCCCAAGTCCCCTTGCTGGTCACCTCCTCTTGCGCAAGACCCATGGGAACATCAACTTTCTGCAGTGTCTCCTCCTCCATATTCTCGTCCATGGTGTCGTCCTCAATGCCAACATCCCCCTTTGGTTTCTTGACACTTCGAGCTCTAGCGTCTTCCTCATCTCGACGAGGATTTTTCTCCAGAGTCCTCATTCAAAAATCGTTTATGAGGATCTTGATGAATAGAGTTGATGCAAGGCAACTATTACCTTCTATTTCCAGTCTTTTGCCTACTACTCTAAAACACCATTAAATCAGAATCTTAACTAACATTTATCTTTCTCTCTGTTCTTGAGATTCTGATTTAATGGTGTTGGAGAAAGTTAGGCAAATGTAGACAGGAAAAATGGTAGGTAAAATATCCTATCCCGTTTTTATATAATGATAGTAATGAAGTTCGAATCTACAATTTCATGTAGACTACCCAAACCCCTAATTACTAAACTAATCGCTTGATATGATGTGTATTCTAAATTTGAATATTTGAGCAATGAAGTATTGGACCAGAAGATAGGATAAATTATTCTACCTACTTTTTTTTTCTGCCTACCTTTGTCTACCACTCTCCAATACCGTTAGATTAGAATCTAAAGAGGAGAGAGAAAGATAAATGTTAATTAAGATTCTGATCTAATGATCTTTTAGAGTGGTAGGCAAAAGTAGGTAGAAAAAAGTAGGTAGAATAATCTATCCTCCAGAAGATATACATAATAAATATGACAAAGAAAAACTGCTTCAAAAATTATCTTTGTTCACATAGATTTTTCCTTGAAGAATGGCCTTTGAATATAGGTTCAACTTATATATGGATAAAGTCGCGACCGGATCGAAACGTGACAGTGAATAATTAAAGGTTAAAATAATGGAGTCGCCACCAAGGTTTATTTGAGAAAAGAAAAAACCCTTTTTGTTTGAAAATCGGTCTTTGAAAACAAAAATGGATTTGGGAGTCAATTACAAGTAGGGAAGGTGTTAGCACCTGTTCTTCTTGAGGCAGATATGTCTGACAGAATGTCGGGTCTTTGATGTTGGATCTAGAACTTTCTCTCTAGATACCTATGAACTAGGTATCTTGGGGACAGCTGATCACTACACACTATATGATGGCTTTAGCCAGAAGGGGTGTGTATGTGTACTGTTGTGTCTTAAATGAAATAGGGTTAGAGAGATCCGTCATACCTGTGGTCTTTAGTCCTATTTATAGAGCTTACCTCTGGGCTGATGTTGGTTGGGCTTCTTGCTGCTGTGGGCCTTTCTCTGGTCCATAACAGTTGCCCCTCATCCCGGTAGACTGAGTTTTCAGGTTGCCGGGATGTCCAGTCTGACTGCTATGCTTTAGTTCAGAAGTTGGTCACCTGGCTGCTTTGTTACTTCGGCTCCTTTGCCTAGCCTTGAGAGAGGAAAACTTCCCCTGGAAGCTATTCCTAGTCTCTGTAAGCCTAGTTATAAGCATAAATAATCGAGTTCCTTGTCTAAGGCAGGTCACGATCTTAAACCCGGCAAGGGAACCCGGATGCAAATGCAAATGTCAGCAACGCGGAATATGATTGTGCGTAACTGCCATCTGATGATTGCTCTGAAGTGAGAAACGGTTTCCCTTCCTTCTAATGATTATCCCTCCACGTGCTCTCTCCTAATAGGCGCGACCTGTGGCGTGGTGCGTTTCTCGTCGTCTTGGCATTTAATGCCTCTGCCAAAACGTCCCGCAATTGTCTTGTCCATTGCAAAATTACCGCAGTACCCATGCCTTTTGGCTTTCGTGGGTTTAATCCTTTGATTTCAACATTTCATACCACTTGCCTCATTTATCATCCATTTGCTTATGTTGTTGTTTCGAATCGTTCCCGAAGAGTTTTTTCTTCGCTGTTGAAGGGTTTCTTCCTACTAGAGCCTCCTCCTCCAGTATCTACCAGTTTCTTCAACATCTTCCTTCGTAGGTATTTTCTTTCACCCTGACTCTCTTTTCTGGCATGTTCTTCATTTACTTTCAATTATGACCATGGTTGCTGGTTTTGTAATGTCTTTCTTCATTCCAAGCTTGTTTACTTGCCTGCTTCTCTATATGATTGCACCTTCTGTATTGGTCTTGCACTTTAAGTGAGCTTATCTGCACTTGACTCACTCCTTACGCACCCTGCTTTGAATAGTTTCTAATATGGGTGAGCGAAATTATGCTATTCGAGGGAGGCCCACTTGCCCCCGCATCTTCGGTCGTGGTGATGAAATTGACGCTGAAGAGGAAGAACGACTTGCGCAGGAAGAGGAAAGGTTCATTCAAAGCCTACCACTTGGTTCGAGGTACTGGTTGTATGGCAGACCTCGGACCGAGGAAGAAACGCAGGCTGCTCTGCTAGGCGGTTATCGAGGTGGTTGCCATAGGGGATCTTCTTCATCTCGCTCCTCGATCCGTGGTCGTAGGAGGGGTCTTCGAGGTAGAAAGGTTTCTGGTTCCTCAACCCGGGGTCAGGATGTTGAGCCCCGTAACTTGGGCAACCCGTTCAGGGCAACCTCTCTTTCATTAGGTTCTACCCCAGTTCACGCTATTACACCTTTTTCGTTCTCCGAGTCAGAGTGTGAGAGTCTCCTCCCGTCCTAGCATTACCAGCCCCGAGCCTTGTTTCAATTGTGTATACCTTGGTGCCCAATTTGTGAAGAGGGGGAATGACTTCATGGCCAACCTAGTTTTAGGTAGCTGTTCACACGTTCCGGGTTCACCAACCCCTGCTCCTGTCTCCACATCTGACGATTCTAGTTCCTCTGATAATAGTTTGTTTAGTTTGGGTACGTATCCTTTTTGCTACGTGCTATTCTTGCTTTTTAATCCTCCATTTTACTGTTCTAGGTATTTATGGAGTCCCATTCTACAGAATCAAATGCGAATATCGCTTCTTCTAGCCAGGGTCCAGAGGTCGGGACGAATACCGCAGAGAAGGGTCATGCGTCAGTAACCGATAATCTTCGTACCCAATATCCCTGGGTTACGGAAGAGGTGCTGAGTTTTACTTCCGAGATGACAACCGAAGAAGTGTCCGGGCTTCCCTTAGGCAACCCGGTTGATTTCAACGCATTCGTGCCTGCCGATGACGAACCTGTTTGCTCCGACCGAAACTCTGAGGAGCCACATTCTTTTTTCTTCTATCAGGATCTGGTGACGAAGATTGGGATTTGATTTCCCTTTTCTTCATTCAAGGTGCAACTTCTAAACCACCTCTTACTCGCACCAACCCTGATCCATCCCAACGGCTGGGCTTATATTGTTGCCTTCGAACAGCTCTGCGACTCGTTGTCCCTTCCTTGCACCGTGCCTTTGTTTTTTCATTTCCTTACTGTTTATACTTCGCGTACCGGCTCGGAACCTCATGAATTGAAGGGGAGGAGTAGCATCCGAGGTCGAGTTAGCAATCCCTCCCGCAAGCTGTTCTCTGTATACAGCGAATCTTTTAAGGGCTTCAAGGCCTATTTTCTTAAAGTAGTGGCCGAGATTGGAAAGAGGCCATGGTTCATTGGCGATGATGGGGAGCCGAAGTTCCCCCTGTACTGGACTCAAGATCATCACCGATGCAAACTATCCGACTACAAATTGAGACTGACACAAGCTGATAAGACTAATGCCAAGACCTTGCTGGAGCATGTGGGCTCCTAGGGTCATCTGAGCGCAGCTTCCTTGGTAGCCAGATCTCATTCATCCCCAGAGCCTACTCCAGAACCCGCCAGCATGCTTTGTGCTTCCCATCTCGATATGTGTATTATTTTCATGTTATTATTTATAACTTGTTGACTTGTTTTTCTTTGCAGATTCCGAAATGAATTTCGATGAAGAAGATGAGGGGCCAGGTCCGGGCTACATCTTGTCGATAACAGGTCAAACCTCTGCTCCGCAAGCTCCTCCGACCAAGAGGCCGACAAGCAGCCCGGCGGGGGCCGCTTCTACTTTGCCCTTGAATTCTGATGTCTCCATCTTGGACCTTACTGGGGATGGTGAGGATACCGAGGCTGATAGGATTCCCCACCCTCCAGTCTCGATTAGTGGGGGCGGAACTCATGCCGTCATTACTCTTCCCCGGGGCTCTCCTGCTCCTGCAGTACTCCCAGTCGGACTGAGGAGAGGTGCTTTATGGGATTCAGGGATAACAGCCGAGTTCCGGGGTGTCATCCGTCCACCGCCCGCATTCTACGGTACCAGGATCATTTCTAGAGCCGAGATGGAGGAGCTCCAGAAGGCAGAGCTGTACACCCTCAAAGTTGCTTCTATGGTAAAGCCATATGCCCTGCTCTTGGAGAAGCATTCCGAGGCCATTGCCGAGCTTGACGAGCTTCGGGTGAGGTATGGAAAAGCTGTGCTTGTCAACGAAGAGCTAACAAACAGCTCTGCTGAACTAAAAGCTGCTGTGGAGACTTCCCAGTTCGAGCTGAAGTCTATTGCTGAAGCTGTT